CTGTCGCTCGCTCTCTCTGTCTTTCACTCACACAGACACACCACCACCATCAACTTTGCTAAATTGCTAATGAAAAACATTGATCAGGCAGCTGTGATTGAGCAGCAGTAGATCCAACTATTTTCACGGTTGTTGTGGTCGTGATAATTTTGTGATGCCACATCGAAAAGGCTCGGATGAGCTTTCCAAAGTTCTACAAGTTGTGCCTCCATCGCTTGTGTCCAGATCACACGCTGCACAGCCGTGCTGCTCCGTCTTTTTCACCGACGTTTACGTGTTTGCGCGTGAGCAGTGTGAGCAGCTGCGGTGACACCCTCACGAGCGATTGATGATCGGGAGCTGCTCGAGGTGTTAATCGCTTCTCGTTACCCCACGTATACTACACGATGCACGATGAAGGCCAAAATCGGGCCGATCACCAAATCGGTCGCACGACTCAAAAATCGTCTCAAAATGGGCCAAAAATCGCACAGTGTAAGCCCAGCATTAGAGCAGCAATGTTTGTTCGCTCAGAGAAAGAAAAAAAGGCTGCAAAAGTACAGGGAGGAATGGGAAAAGGAAAACACCTGGCTGGAAAAGTGCACGATAACACCTATAAAGCGCACTGCACTGTGTGCCGGCGCACTTTTTCCATAGGCATGCTTCTAATGGTGGGCACATGAAGAACATGAGGGGCGTGAAAGCTCGGGGAACCCTTAACCAATTTTTTGTCCACCAGGCCACGGCAGAAGCAGATATGGTATGTAAACACTTCTCACACACACACACACACACACACACACACACACACACACACACACACACACACACACACACACACACACACACACACACACACACATATGTGTATGTTTTGTGTTTGTGTTTTGTAAAACCTCTCCTCCTCCATCAGGTTGGAAGGGAAACACTAGTGCACAGCCATTTTCAGATCTCTCCAGAGATTTTCAATTGGGCTCAAGTCTGGGATCTGGCTGGGTCACTCAAAGACATTCACAGAATGGTCCCAAAGCCACTCCTTTGTTATGGTTGTGTGTTTAGGGTCATTTTCCTGTTGGAAGATGAACCTATGCCCCAGTCTGAGCTCTCAGGAGCAGGTTATCATCAAGGATGTCTCTGTACATTCCTGCATAAATTTCCCTTGACCCTCACAAGTCTCCCAGTTCTGGTTGGTGAAAAAAGACATACGCACAGCATGATGCTTCACTGTAGGGATGGTATTGGCCAGGTGACAATTGATGTCTGGTGCAGACATAATGCATGCCATTCAGGCCAAAGATTTCAATTCTTGTTTCATCAGACCAGATAATTTTGTTTCTCATGAACTGAGAACCCTTCAGCTGCCTTTTGGCTAGGCTGTTATGTGTCTTATGGCTTCTGTCTGGCCACACCATCATGGCCTGATTGGCAGAGTGCTGCAGGACAACCATTTTTATAGAGAAATGCTGGATCACTGTCAAAGTGACGATTCGGTTTTTGGTCACCTCCCTGACTAAGGCTCTTCTACTCTGATGGCTCAGATTGTTTGGATAGCCAGATCTAGGAAAAATCCTAGTGGCTCCCAACTTCTTGCATTTATGGTTGATGGAGGCCACTGTGCTCATGGAACTGTCAAAGCTGCAGACATTTTTCTGCATCCTTCCCCAGATCTGTGCTTTGCTAAAATTATTTTTAGAGCTCTACAGACATTTCCTTAAAAGTTATGGCTTACTTTGCTGTGCTCTGCCGTGCAATTGTGAACTAGAGGACCTTATATATAAGTCAGTGCTTATTCAAAACATGTCGAATCCACTGAACTACATGAATACATACATCCAGAACTGGACATACTGATCATCATGATATTCACTACAGTATATAAACAGCAGTACAGTTTACAAATGATCTGACAGCACGCTTGACACTGTCGACTACAATATTTTGTTAGAGAAATGCTGTAGGTATCAAAGGTACTGCTCTGCAGTGATTTGAATCATGTCTCTCTATTAGACTTCTGCGTGTTCATGTAAGGCCACAAGGTCCTGTGCTGGGACCAGTTCTGCTTACATTATTCAAGCTTCACTGAGACAGTATCATTTGAAGGTATAGCATACATTTTCATTGTTATGCAGATAATACCCAGTTTTATCTATCCATGAAGCCAGATAACACATCCCAATTACCGTAGTTAAATTGCAGGAATGTCGTTATTGAAGTTATTGTACTCAGCTGTAAAATTTTAGAAATACAGTATCTAAACAGATGCTTACTCTAGGTGGCATTGCCTTGGACTCCAGTAACACTGTTAGGAATCTTTGAGTTGTTTTTTGACCAGGATATGTCCTTCAGTGCACATATTAACTAACTATGTTCACTCAGAACATATTTATTAGGCTTTGGGGTTTTTTGGCCATTAACTCGGTTTCTTTTATTTTGTGGACGTGAGCTGGGTTAACAAACTGAAATATCAGCTAGAAACTGGAATTGATATTACAGCTAGTTTGAAAGTGAAGAATACTATAAGAACATTTTAAGTCATCAGTAACAGATCTTCCATTAATACCGTGTTAAATCTGCCACTATTAATGAGTGGTTGTTGAAGTCCACACTTCTGAAAAAAAATTGGTGTTACTGTCTACTGTCCTTGCAGATGTGGAGAGAGACGGAAACATGATGCTGTTTGCACATATTTAATAATCAGCTCTGCACAGGAACTGAAGAAGAGTACAGCCTGTTACTCTTACAGAATGATACTCATAAAAAAGTAAAGTAATGACAGTGTTAGTGAATGAGCAGCCCTGTGACTTTTCTCTGTTTCTCATTTCAGTTGTTTCAGTGCCTCATCTTCAGCTGCATTTCTGCATGTCTGAGCTACTGCACTGACTTAATCACCATTCAATATCAGCGATTTCTTCAGTCAGGGAAAATTCATTCATGTACACAAATTAGCAAGCCAAAAGCAACTTTCCCCAACAGCTGACTGCTTGTCTTAACTAGCTAGTTAAGCACATTAATTAGCTTCCAAACACACATTTAACTTACCCAATGATGATGCATCAGGTCCTTCTAGTCCAGTTTACAGCAGAACACCTCACACCATCAGTTTGAAACAGAAACTTGCGGTTTTGGAAAGTAAATGCTGAAACTCAGCTTAGCATCTCTATTCTAGCTTCAGTACCTGAACAGCGATATATGCAATTTTCTCTGTAAGTGCAGCTGCCAATCAAAAATGATGTTGCGCATCAATTTAACAAATTAAAATCAAACTTATGATAAAGGAGACCCCTCAACATGATGAGAACAACTAATAATAATTGCTGAAACCATCTTTTGGAAAAATTTATCTCAGGAGAACTTTTACTTTGTCCCCGTTCCATCTTCTAACGTCGAGGGTGTGGGGTTTTTGAACAATACTGCAGCCAGACACCAGGGGGCGATAGAGACACTTTTGTGGAGTTGTTGGGTTTTCCATATTTTCTACACCAGTGGTTCTCAAACTAGTGATGTGCGATACCACTGATTTCCTTTCCAATCCGATACCAAGTAAAATTCAGGGTGGTATCGACAATACTGATCCGATACCGATACTTTGTACAAAAATGTATTTTATTTATTGTATCTTTTATTGTATCTCAAATGATAGCGTCATCATGATTACAGGACATCAGATTACAGGACATCAGATTACTTGTTCTTATCACTTAATAATGCAGAATTCATCATATAGAAATAAAAAAAACTGAAGTCGTGCGCTATTTGGACTCCGCGAGAGATGTCTGTCTCCCCCTAGCAGCACCTGTCCCTGTCCACTCCTCCTCTTCAGTTCGCCTCAACATACGCTCGTCATAATCTGTGATATGATTTACTCTGAGGTGTTTGAGAAGGTTAGTGGTGTTGCCACAACACCTCACTGTCTTGCCACATGTATCGCAAACTACGTCTCAGCTGTTTGTGGAGGTAAAACACGTCCACACATGACTCCATTTACGCTCAGCCATTGTTGTGAGTGCGCACGCCAAGGGGCTGCGACACATTTATACAGCCGTATTTTGCACATGACTATGGAAGGCGGAAGAGAAAGTAGTTCCTTCCAACGTAGACAATCAGAATGATATAGTTTCTTTCCACTCTGTTCCTGTTAATGATAAACTACAAATTTACCCTAAATTACTAAAATATCGATATTTTAATGTGAGAATCGATTCTAGAACATAAATGACTGGTATCGGAGGAATCGATATTTCAGTATCGATCCGCACATCACCATCTCAAACCTTTCACAATGAGCACCACCTCATAAAATATGTGGATCTTGAAGTACCACCCTTATGACCAACATTAAAGTACAGTAGTAGAGGCCTATCTAACACCACATACAGTTTACATGTGGTGTCACTTATATGAATGTTATTTATTTTAACTGTCATAAACAGGATGTGACAAGTGATAATAATAACAGCTGTACTGCATTAAAACATTCACAGCAGGTAGATTATCCAGTCTCCAAGTGATGACGTATGAATCCTGCTTCCGGGTCCAAACTACTCTGCATTTATCAAGGCTGCTGTGTTTTTAACATGTTTTAATGCTTTATATTTTGTTCTATTTAATCTGAACAAGACCCTAAAAAAGGCAGTGATCACTGTCGGCCTCTGACGGTTTTTATTAACACTGTTTATTTTAAAGCCCAGTTTTTAAAACCTTACAATGTAACTACAGCCCAGCCCATGCAGCAGTATATTAATTACTAACCTCGTATTGTGATGAATTATCTCAGTTGTTCTCCTGACTGAAGTTTGGTCTGTTTACATCATCCCGACATGCGATTGCATTTGTCCCTAACCATCAGGAACTGTTATCGAGTGGAAAATAGTTAGCGTTCATGCTCCAGCTTCACTGTGCTAATGTGCTTATATTAAGCTAACCATAGCTGTGTAGCTAGCCACCACGCAGGACATCGTTTTATACCAGCTAGCCCAACTTCAGTAACCCTACAAACGTCACTGCTGTTTAGTTTCCATTTATGTTGGAAGTGATAACAGAGCTGTACGTTTTAATTTTTCAGAAATCCCTCAAGCAGAAAATGGTATATTATTTAATCATAAAAATTTTATTGGAGACTTCCCACGTACCACTAGAGGGAGCCCGTGTACCACAGTTTGAGAACCACTGTTCTACACGATCACATTGACATGGATATAGAATAGATCACAAATAACATGGCATGAGACAACTTGCTCACTAGAGCTTCTACTGCCTTTTGCAATGGATACAGAAACTCTTCAGAATGACATTATATCTCTGGCGGTTCATTATCCTCTTTGGTCTGCTCAGCCAACTTTTAAGGTCTTTATGGCAAGAACACTAGCCATCACAATTTTTCCACTCTTGTGCATAAAATGAAGGCTCCCTCTTTTTTGAACTTGAATTTGTGCTAAACACTTGTTGACATGACTGATGACACTATACAGGAACTGCTGAAACAGGAGTAAGAGTATGTGGTTCAATCCATTCAGTCACATTCACAAAGTGAGGATCAGTCTGAAGATAATGGACAAAGAATAGGAAGGAACCCTGACCCTAACCCAGTTATTAACAATTCAGATTACTACTGTAAGAAAATCCAAAACCGGTTATCTGTTACTGATGTTAAATAAATATAATGATGCAATCTTTTAATGCCCACTTTAATTTATGATGATGTACAATTGAGTTTTGTTAAATGTCTTACATTTCAAAGTAAGTTATGGCAAAACTATTAGCAAACTTTCATGAACCATTGAGAAGCTCCATAATCTGCTGTTTGTGGGAGGAGGTGGGGGTGTCAGTTCAATCCATTACAGTCAAATGGTTGTTGATATGAAGAAAATTAAAATAACAAAAAGCATAAAAAGTGGATATTTCGCTGATTGATTTACAATTTGTAAGTAAAAATGGCTTTTCACATTTTTATTTAAAAGATACACACTGAAATGTTTTACAGTGAGTCCAGACCCATGGCTTGGGTGACATCCATAAAAAATTCAACCTGCAGTTGACAGAGAGGGAAAACGGTAAGATTTTTAGATTAGATTCAATACAATTTACTCAACTTCTTGTTCACTGATGAGATAAAAGCTGAACTTTTTGAAAGATTTGACTGTGTTACATTGACATTAAATTATCACAGTATTTCATGAAAAGAATATCGTACCAACAGTGAAACATGGTTGTGGTAGTGTGAGGGTCTGGAGCTGCTTTGCTTCTTCAGGACCTGGATGACTTTCTGTAATTGATAAACTATGAACTCTAATCCATCAGTCCATCAGTTCATGTCCTGAAGCAAGACGTTAATCTAAAACACACCAACTAGCCCACCTCTAAATGACTCAATAATAATAATAATAATTTTGGACAACAACAAGTCTTCCAATTCATGCTTGAAACCCCTCCACTGTGGCTGAATTAAGAAGAGTGGGCCCAAATTCCTTCTCAGTGATGTGAAAAATTAATTGGCAGTTATGATACTTGATGGCACCTCCTGCTTTAGATCCAGTTATCAACAGTATTATTCCCTTAATTTTTAAATCCGAATGAAAATTTAGAACAATATTCTGACAAAACATCTTATTAAACTTATTCATTTTTTTAACTTCAGCCAGGATAAGTCACTAGAAGCTAAAGACTGCCACTTCTACGACTAAAGTCATTTGACTACTGTTGCTGACAGAACAATCTGGTGGAGAGTTTGATGTGGATGTAACTTTAAGTACTCCACGTACTGATAAAGTAACAGTCAGGTGCCAGCCAGCGTTCGGTGGGAAAGCAGAGTAGATATTTGTTCTTGATGGTAATGTTATGTGGCCCTCTTAAAGGTAAGGTTTTATTATCTGTGAATAAAAACAGAAACCAAGACAGACAATACCTGTAACCAGGTCATTGATTTATTTCTCTATCTAATGAGTCAACATGAAAACTAGACAGAAGAATAGTAACAGATTGCAGGTCTATGTCATTGTCATAACAGCACTGAAGGGCGATCTTTGCTAAATACCTCCCTGAGACAATGCATCAGGGGATGATAAAAGGGTAGGAGGCTTTGCAGCTGGTGAGTCCCACTGATTGTTGAAATTCAGACTGGAAACAAGTATTATTCTCCTAAAACTAGAGTTAAGCTTTTGCTTGCCAGTTTAGGATCTGCTTTGCACAATAAAGTAAGTGTGCACTTGCTTTTCTAAAGATGATAATGGCTCTACACAATCAAAGCCCCTTCGCCTAATCAGAGAAATGAACCAGTGGAGTGATATATACAGTGCCCTTGATAATGTTTGGGACAGAAAAACATGTTTTGAAGTTTTGTCTTTGTAAACCACCACAGTAGATGTAAATCAACATGATTGAAGTGTAGACTTTCAGCTTTAATTGAAAGAGTTTTACAAAATCTTTGCATGAACTAACATCCACTCACATCCTGGGCCATTTGACCTCAGTAAATTACATGATAGGATTGGGCAAGGTTTCACAATGGGTCCACCTGAAACCTTGGCTGACTGTGACCCACACCTGTTTTCACACATTGGCTTGTGCAATTAGGTAGAGGGTGAATAGGGAGTCCATGACCCTCTTGTGGACACTTCCATAGGGCTTAAAATCTGGGACTTTCCACCAATTGCACTTAGAACTGAAGAAGCTTCTCGGATGAGAGGTGAAATGTCTTCAAGAAAACCTAAAGAAGTCCAGACGCTTTTCTTTCCAGGCTCCTTAGACTACGATGACCTGGATGACTGAGAACCTTCACACACAACCCAGTGAGTTTTTTATGGGCAAATGCCCTGTATATGGGGTCAATGTCAGCTGAACCAGCTCAACCTAATGAAAAGTAAATTTCAATAATGATTTCTATAATATTAGTTAACAGTAGTATTATGGACAGACATTACCATATCAAGTCTGTGTTCCTGTGTTCTGTTACTTTGTGTTTTATTTTGATAGTCTGTCGTCTCATGTGCATTATGCTCAGATTGGCTTCCCTTGTCTCATTCTTTAGATTCAGTTTAGCTGAGTGTTTTTTCCCCACGTGTTTCCACTTCCCTAATTACCCTCCTATGTATATCATATATTATGTCAGTGTTTCTTTGTCAAGGCATCTATTTTCCTTCCCCAGTGTTTCTCAGCCCTAGTGAGGTTTTTAGTTTCTGCAGCTTTCAGTTCCTAGTGTAGCCTTTATCGATCTGCGGGATCGATAAAGGGACAAAAAAAAGGGAAACAAAAAAAAGTAAATGTCCACAATTTAGACATTAATTACGTTATATTTTATAAGTGGTTTAGCAGCAACAGTAATGTGACGCAAAAGCAATTTGACAAACTTAAATGCTATTAAATATATGTATTGTTTTACAGTCAATGGCCACCTAATTTCTAGAACCCATGTAAACCAAATCTCTCTTGAGATGCTTTGCTCGTGGGCCTCTGTCTTCAGTTTTATATTCAGTAACTGAAACGTATGCTCTGTTGGGTTCAGGTGACTAAATTGGCAATTGGAGAATATTCTCTTTTTTTGAGTATAGCTCTGTACATTTCAGAATACATGCTATCCTTATCAACATTCACATCATCAACAAACACAATCAATCTTAGTCTAATGTGGGCTTTTTGTTCTCGAGTGTAACCACTGGTTCAGTCCTTGTCGTAAATGCCCTTCATTTGTATTCATGATGGCATTTTTTGATTGAAGACTTTTTCAGTGATATACCTGTCTCCTGAAAACTGTTCTTGGTTTTCCAACATGATGTGAAAGGTGTTCTCTTAATCAATGAAAGATTTGTAATGATCTACTTTATTTTTCAGGCCATTTTAGGCCAAAAACTCACATTTGCCTAACAAGCAAAGGAGCAGCTGAAGGTTGCTTTCACCTTGGTTGTCTTTCAGGGATTATGTTGGTGAGCTGTTTAGTCTGTTGGCAATTCACTCTATTTCAATTTCTTGTCTCTTTGACTCACATTGAAAATTCCAGCCTGCCAATTCCAAGTTCAACATTAAACGATTCCAGATATTTAATCAAAATGTTTGCAGTTAATGGACTATCTGTTAAAAACCACAGAATTAAACCTGGAAGTGTGCAGTTCAATCGCATGTTGATCTTTTTTTTCAAATCCACTGTAGTGTAAACACAATGAAGCACACAAAAGAAATGACACAGAAAAAGTATTTAAAATCTATTTAATATTTCGTGCAAAAATTTCAAGACATCTCTTGTGTAGATAAACTCGTAACAAGCATTTCTCATGTGTGATTTTGGCACATTTTTCCACACAAAACAACAAGTCTTCCAATCCTGAAAGTTCTGTGGGCTCCTTCTATGAACTCCAATTCTTAGCTTTAATCCTTTGCATAGATTTTCAACTGGATTCAGGTCAGATGATTGGCTGGGCCATTCTAGCAGCTTTCTTTCCCCTTTCCCTGAGACCAATGGAGAGTTTCCTTGGCTGTGTGTTTGGGATCATTATCTTGCTGGAACGTCCACACTCGTTTCATTTTAATCATCCTGGAAGATGGCAGCAGATTTCTAATCAAGAATGTCTCCCTACATTTTTCCTTTCATCCTTCATTCAATTGTACGAAGCAAACCAGTGCTGTATGTTGAAAAATGACCCCATGGTTTTCCCACCTCCAAATGTCACTGTTGGTATGGTGTTTTTGGGGTGATGTGCAGTGCCTTTTGACCTTTGAGCTACAAACATGGCGCATTTTATGGCATCCAAACAGTTCAATTTTGGTCTCATCTGACCAGACTATATTCTCCCAGTATTTCTCAGGCTTGTCTAAATGTTGTTCGGTTGTTCGCAGCATCCTTTTTCTTCAGCTGTGGAGTCTTGCATGGTGAGTGTATATACAGGTCATGGTGGTTGAGTGCATTACTTATTGTTTTTCCTCTGAAACAATTGTACCTGCTGATTCCAGGTCTTGCTGTAGCTCTTGGACAAGTTTTCTGAAAATTCTTTTCACTCCTCTGTCTGACATCCTGTGGTGAACACCTGGCTGTGGCCGGTTTATGTTGAAATGATCTTTCCACTTCTGGATTTTGGCCCCAACAGTTTCTCACTGGAACCTTCAGTAGTTCAGAAATTGTTCTGTAACCAATGCAATCAATAAGGTTTTAAAGACCTTAAGAGTATTCCTCTACTTGTATTCCTTTGCAATATTTCTTTTATCCTTAATTGAACTCTATTTTTCTGTAATTCAGATTTGAGTATTTGCCTTTCCTGCCTATATTTCCCACATTCTAACATGTTCAAACCTTTCCTCTTGTCCACAAAATTCACAATTCCCTGCTGTGTGACACCTTGGTAATAGGTGGCAGGATTGCTTTTTAATTACTGATAGATTTCAGTTGGTGTCATGGCTTTTCATGCCTTTTTGCACCTTTGTTTCATCATGTGTTCAATACCTTTTCCCTGTGTCATTTCTCATTATTACACATTTGAATTTACAAAATTTATGGATTAATTTTATATCATTTGGAGCAATGCTTATTTATCTGCTGTATGTGTGGATTTGGTTTGTCAAGATGTGATATGTGTACATCAGAAAGATGCAGAGAAGGACCGAGTGACATTCTGAATGGCATCTTAAATATTCTGGATTTTCTTGTAAACTGGAGAATGATGCACTTACTAGATGACTGACCCAAAAATATACAAGTGTGCGGTTTGTGATGACACTGACAGATAAATATTTCTTAAAAGGCTTAAAGTTTGTGTAAGTTTATTTTCCTGATTTTCAAGCAGGTTCAGTAGTCAGATTTGGGGTTCAGATTGGGACCCACAGTGTGGAGACTGAAATCAGCCAATACCTCAGTTCAGCAAGTGTCATTGTTTGCATCTGTGCAAGTCGCTCTAACTAACTGAACTTGGGCAGTGACCTTTTAGACAGTCACTGCCCTGCCAGAGACCCTGATGGCTTGCAGTTTTTTTGTGTGATTTATTTTACATAAAGAAAAATGTCCATGTTTCCACCCAATTTTATCCGCTTATCCACTTCAGGGGTGCTGTAGCTTATTCCAGCTAAGATAAGATAAGATAAGATAGAACTTTATTAATCCCTCGGGTGGGTTCCTCTGGGAAATTCGATTTCCAAAAAAAGCACAGCACCGACAGAAGTTACAGAGTTACAGAATATTATATATATATATATACACACACACATACACACACATATATAAATACAGAGACAAATATAAATAAAATATACGAAGGGGATAAATAGAATAAATAGGAATAAAAATAAAAATACAAGTGAATTGCACATTTCAAGTATTGAGGTCTATTGCACTGTTGACTATTTACAAAAAGTATTGCACAAGGTATTGTACAGTGAGGTGAAGAGGCACTACAGCTTAGTTGTTCCCCCCTCCTTTGTCCTCCTGTTTCCCCTCCCTCTCCCCTCCAGAGAGGAGTTAAACAGTCTGATGGCGTGTGGGACAAAGGAGTTTTTAAGTCTGTTAGTTCTTGTCTTTGGGAGAAGCAACCTGTCACTGAACAGACTCTTCTGGTTGTTAATGGCCGTGTGCAGAGGATGCCTGGCATTGTTCATAATGTCCATAATGTCACAGGGTGAAAGGAAGGTTTCGTCAGTCGGAATCCAAACAGTTTTCCTCTAAGTCTAAATTGTTCAGGCAAAATATTTAGGCTAATGATTACAGTATTTCAGTGCTTCAGCATTTAACAGAGTATAGAAGCATTTCACACCAGCAGCATTAACTATATTAATATAATATAATATAAATATATATATATATATATATATATAATAAATATATATATATATATATATATATATATATATTATATATATAGTATATATAATAATGAATAGTAAAATTGTAAGATGAAATATTTTACTTAATATTAAATCATTTGGGGCTACATGTCTACTTCTGAGGAATGCAGTCGTCTTGTTAAACAATGTAAGAACTGCAAAAAACACAGCACTACGTGAAAAGTGGATTTTCTTGTTTGTTGGTTTGTTTTGATTGCTAAAAGTGAACAAAGTTACACACTAATGAGATTAGAAATAGTTCAGACTATTCAAAGGGCATTCTCACTTTTCTAGTTTATCTGGAATACATAGATGCATTTCTGCACTGCTTCCAGTCAGTTATTACTGAAGTAATATAGTATATATTAAGAAACAATGATCCAAAATGTTAATGTACTTATGTCATTTCCTGCTTTTTTTTTGTCTGTTTCTCCTTCACAGAGGCAAATGTTTGTTCTGCGGTATCTAAAGGATACATCTCTGGCTTCTTGTGGCTTTATGAGGACTGGCATAGCAAAGATAACCAAGATGTTGCCATAGCAATCCGTCATGCACTCCTGTGCTGCCTCCTTAAGGCCACTGACAGCACTGCAGGCAGGCAGGCTTTTCTATCCCAGGGAGGTATCAGACTCCTATATCAAACTGCACAGGTGAGTTCAAATTGTTTCTAGGTGAAGTTAATCTGACTTGATGAGGTAGAAACCAAATGCCTGTGTGCCAGTATAGTCCTTTTTCCATTAATACCTACTTAAATTGACTCGTCTCGGTTGTATTTGATCAACCTAATCGAAATGCATTTATCATGCTAAATTGCAAAGATTTTTAAGTTTTTGTTGAAGGGTGTGTCCATGGTGCCAAAGTGAATATCGATGATGTGTAGCATCAGGAGATACAACTTTATTGGCAATAAACACAACACTTTGATTGGATCAATATGTGATCCTAACACAGGACACCTACATTGTACTTGCTGATCTCATATTTAATTTGTATGTTGACTAAGTTTTTTAACCCTTGGCTGTAAAAGGGTATTGTTGACACCCTGCTAGGTAGGCAGGCAGGTGGATAATGTGGACACCCAAGTTTGTGAATGCATTAATGGATTTCTTTTTAAATTTAGTTTCATATTGATACCATAGGTGTAGCTACTAAAAATCACGGACTAGTTTGAATCTCTGTGTCCTAGACATCAAGGTCAGGGGTCAGAGGTCACCTTTCCGAAAAAAGATTTTCTGAAAATCTTGCATCTGAGGGGTACCCCTGGCCACTGCCAGTAATTTTATATTTATTTTTTAGTCTCAAAGCCTGAAATAGCACTGAGACTGCAGCTGATGTTAACTTGGTGATTTAGGAAATGTATCATTTTAATGTTTAATCAAGTATTTATACATGATTCTGGTGAGTCTGTTTTACGCTGCTGGAAACCCAGAACATCCACTAAGATTACCTGTTCAGCCAGTCACATCAATTTTACTTTGGTCTGTGGCAAATTGCAGTAATTTCCTGTTCTTCTTTACCAGGCTGTGGGACAGTAAATTTTAATGCTGAAATGTATCCAGTCTAAAGTTTTAGAGGTCTTGTCTGCAGCTATATCAGAACAGCAGGGCTGAACGTGCATTCAGCCAAGTCAATGACTACAATTAAAATGTTTTCTTTACCACTCAGTGTGCTAAATCAACAGATTAACAATTTCCTGCTGCATTAATACTGTCCTTTTAAAAACCAGGTTGCATTTTACTGCTACTTGTCTTATGTTCTCTACAGTTATTATTTGATTTGCCACTTTGTATTTTTTTTTTGTACTATCCACCATGACATTTATTTAAGCTCTTTTGCTATACAATGGCAGCAATGATTCACTAATGCCCTGAGGAATTTGCAAGCTTGCTCATTTACAAGGAAATGAATATGCTCAAATTTTATAGTACTTTCATTTTAATAGAGATAAAGGAGAATATCAACCAGAAAATCCAAAGAAAAATGGAGAAAAGAAAATCACATAAAAATAATAAACTGTAATATACAAAAGACAAAATGAATGAAAGACAAATGTGAGTTTGGGAGGGTAGGTTTCGGCATTCTGTTGGTACAATATAGCTCATTCATTAACATTAAACTAATCTGTTAGCTCACATTTTTCTGGAGTTTTCATGTTGTTTCAATTTTCTTGTTTGTTTCTGTGCAGACATGTTTATTAAGCAAAAATCTGGAGTGTTTGGTGGAGCCATCCGTGCAGCTGATGAGGAAGTGTCTTCCTAGAATTCCTCTACCAGTCACATCAGATCAGTCTGCATATAGCTTTCTCCTGCCTGGTACACCTGCTTTCACGGATGTTAGTGAGACACCAGGTAAAGTCCCAGGATTCATAGACCTCCAAAAACTGTTTAGACCTCAAGAGCCCCAAACAGACTAATTAACTCTTTAGCTAATCTTATGTAGTCTGAGACTGGCCATTTTTATTCCATTAAGGGTTAATGGGGTATTTTCGTCACCCCACTGCGTGAGCAGGCAGTGTGGACACCCACGTTTGTAGATTTAATAACTTGAGAATGAGGCAACGTAGCACTTTGATATTTATACCATAGGTGTATCTACTGAAAATGAACAAGACTGAATCCCGGTGACCTTGACCTCAAGGCCAACGTTTAATAAAATTAAATGTAATTAGAAAATGATGAGACATAATCAGTTCCATAATCAGTTTCAGAACAAAATCTAGAGTATGTGTGGTGGGTGGGTTCTTTAGCCAGTTGACTCCAATTATAGATGGAATGCTGTGTTGAGGCTGTCATGTTTAGTATCTCCATGGATGTTAAAATCACCCGCAATAATTATTTTATCTGAGCTGATCTCCATACATTACAAGTACAGAGATAGGCCCAAACAAACATACACAGCTTTTTGTTTGTTTTTTGTCTGGGAGCGGATGCAGGCTGCAGGGGGATGGGGTTTTGGAGACAAGCAGACAGAAGCTGCAGAGAGGCGTGTAAGACTGCAGCTCTGCTCAGTAATGTTTCCAGAGTTATTTTTTATACTTCAAAAATATCTCAAGTTAGAGAATTGACTCTGAGAATTTGGCCCATGCAGTCATATCAGGCTGGTTAGACTACTGTAACGCTCCATTTGTTGGACGACTGTAAGCAGCACAAATGCAGCAGCCAGAGTTCTGTCCACATACTTGGGAATTTAAACGTATTAGCCCAGTACTGAAGTCACTTCATTATCTTCCAGTTCAGTACAGCAATGTAAATTTTGACAGTAAATTCTGATTTAATCTATGTCATAGTCTTTAGACTAAAATGTAATTTGGCTTTAGTCATAATTTCGGCATCTAAATTCTTTTAGTTTTAGTTGACTAAATATCATAAGATCGTAATAGAGTAAATCTGAAGTTGATTCAGTTGACTAAAATATAGAGTGTATAAGTAACAAACCATCTTATTTTCCTTGAGATGAAATGAAACGTGTCCATATATGTGCTTTTCTAATCCTCTCAAACGTTGATATTTTGTTACATTTTCATGAAAAACAGGTGTCATGGGAGCATCTCCCACTCCCATCCTGTTTGTTGGTGGCAGATCAAATTGTGCACATCCAACCTCGCTGCACATGGAGATTACTTCTGATTGGATCAATTCGAAGCTCACTCCACCTCTTTACACAACTTGATGTGTTCTGATTGGATCTTGTCTCTTCAGAACATTTTAATCTAATTTTTATTCATCACCAAAAGTGTCAATACATTTCAACATAGTTTTTGTCCTTTGCATTTGTTTAAGTATAAACCTAATTGAAGTTTAAGTATAATGAAATGTGCTATATAAATTAAATGTCCATTATGATTGTAATTTTACTTTGGAGTCAACAGTCACTCTAACTTATTGGTTTTCTGTTGTGTATATATGTGTTGTAGATGAGAGCAGTGATGAGAGCGATGCTGAAGAAGCTGAAGATAACCATGAGGCCAACAACAGAGACTATGTGAGTCTATGCAGATGGAGTGCTTAGGATTGTCACCTCACTGCAAGAAAGTTTATGGTTTGAAATCTGGTTTTTGGCCTGTGCATACCTTCTGGGTACTGCAGCTACCTACCACAGGAAGGTAGCTGCAGTACGGTGGATTTGATATATGCTGCTGTGAGTATATATTGAAGACTCATGAGTCATTATGCATTTGTGTGCATCGTTGTCCAGGATGATGACTTGGAGACTGACCTAAACAAACTTCGTCTTCCTCCTGACCCTGACAGACCTAAAGAGCTGCTTACACAGTACAGCTGCTTTTGTCCTGAGCTGTCACATGATTTCCAGGTATGCACCTCTCTCTCGCTCTGTCTTGTGTTTGTGTGTGTGCATTTGTTTGTTAGATGAATAAATTGTTAAATTCCCCAAATGCGTTGTTTCTTTGGACTTCAATCATCCGATTCAATAAAGAACACTAAACAAAGTAGTAGAATAAACTGTTTGGCATTGGCAACAACAATTCAGCAAGTTTCTCAAGCACCATTTAAGGTGAAATAAACAGACTTTCCACCAGTATAATATTCATTGCCAAGAAACATTGTTACAAAGAAATAACTGACCAAAGACAAACTTCCTTTTGTGTTTATTTTTTTAAAGGCAAAAGATGTTGGCTTCATGTTTAATTCAATAAAAGTAATAAGTGTATTGTATTTGTTTTTGTCTCAAGACACTGCCGACATTTTTCTGTATGAAGCCAAACCCTTTGTCTAGATTAACTTTAAACACAACCGTAAAACTGAAATGTTACTAAGTAATTAAGTAGAAAGTAAGAAAATGGTACAGATCGATGAAAAAGATTTGATATTTTCTTAACCACTTGTCCAATTCAGGAATGCAGGGATCCTGTGCCAGCTGTCTACAGATCACCAGTCCATTGCAGGGCTGTGTTATGACCTGGTTCATAAACCACAACATAAAATGGAGACTGAAACCACAACTTTATTTAAGCTGAAAAATGACAGCAAAAAGGAATCAGTTAGGAGAGCATAACAAGGTCCACCCTTTGTCAAGTACAGACAATTAGCAATTAAACCCAGTCAATTGGCAGTGCCACTTTAAAGGCAGGTAGTGCTTGCAGAGGGGTGTAACACCTCCCCCAGGAACTCAAAATGAATTTAGAGAAATTCCCCTGGAGTCTTTTCTAGTTGTTGACCTAAAAGACAAAATGGGGAAAGATGGAAAACAAGTGTGGCTCACAGCAGCCACAAACAAAGTTACTCCAATCAGTGGACACCTACAGCCAAGACACAGAGGCAGAATATCATTCCTGCCTAAGACCAATTTAAAGTCACCAATGAACCTTCTATGCATGCCTTTTGGATTGTGGTTTGAACCTGGCATACTGGAGAGATCACACAGTAAGAATATGCCAAGTCCACACAGCAATGCTTCAGGTAGCTGGCAGATTGAGACCTAGAATCTTCTTGCTGTGAGGCAACAGGGCTGACCTCTACACGACAGCTTCAAGTTGTATTTAAATTTGTAGTTAATTTAAGACATTTCTAGGATATAGTGAAGAACAAACAAAACACGTGTTCGTATTGGTCATGACTGTACTGTACCGCCTGAAATGGAATATGTTGTCACCTAATTAAGATTTTTCCATCTTGTAATGATACACTAAAGAGCCAACAGTAAAATCACTTATGAACTGATAACCTTTATCATCTTGTTACAATGCAGGGATGCACCTGCATTGAAAAACAAAATCAGACAAAATATTAAAGTGACGCTGAGGTTAGCACTGTCACTTCACAGCAGGAAGGGTTCTGATTCAAGTCTTTGAGATATCACGGCCTTTCTATATGGCATTTCCTGCACTTGTGCCTGTGTGAATTTCCTCACTTCGTGTTCCTCCCACGGTCCAAAGACTGCTCATGGATGTGAGGTAGATAGTGTGCTTAAATTATATAAAATAAAGCACTGTGTGGTTATGTGTGGCTTGTAGTCTGAAAGACTTTGAGTGGCCAGTTAGACTATATAAATGCTGTTACTGGCAGCTGATGTCACTGTGACGTCACCACGCAATGATTTTGTAGAGTGACAACAATATTGTCTGTAATATTTAACCACTACATGTATTTTCAGGTTTTAGAGTCAGTTTACCTGTATATATATGTATAGTATGATCTATGTGGACCGGAAGCAAACAATGTGATGTCTAGAAATGTCATCTCATCACCCTCAGTGTGGAAGAAGGAGGCTAATAGGTAGACTCTTGTTTAACATGGCATACTTATTACGCTGGCAATCACGATTTCAACATAATTTTTTTCACTTTTGCACACATCATCCACATAATTTTCTATATAATCAAAACTTTGTAATGCCACATAGCCAGGTAACAGTTTGTTCAAAAGGCTCTCTATTATGTATTTGCTAGTTCCACACTCACCTCACCTTGGAAATAAATGATGCAGCATTGATTCTATAACTGAACATAGCTCATGTTTCAAAAGACCAAGTGGCCTCCAAGGTATGTTTGTACATAGGCTACTGACTGGGTTAGCTCTCAACTGCCCACATGTTTACACAAAGCCTCTTCAGAAAAAATCAAGCATCTTTTGTGAGGTCTTGCACTGTACAGTTGGTGTTTTTCCAGAGTAAGACGTGACTATATCTGTGTTTTTCAGGAGCTGGATCTGAGTTCAGAGACAGGGGATAGTTCAACAGCATCATCATCATCAGATGATGAGGTAGTGCTTAACAAGGACAGGACAAAGACTACTGCAAGTCGAGATTCCTCTACCTCTGATGGTTCTTACTCAGAGATGGAAATATCCAGTAGAGACATGCCAGGTCAGAGCCAGCTTAAACACACAGCAACACTGGTCCAAAAGTAGGGTCTCTACTTTACAAAAAGTTGCATTGAGATTTCTGTTGTGTTTTTGTGCTACGTAAAAAAATTGAATTGAACTGAAAAATTATGATCAATTACAAAAAGATAGCTCTGGATAATGACATCAGCCTATAGAGAAAGTGATGCATATTTCCAGCTTATGCTTATCCCTCTCACAAACAGAAGCAGAATGAGTAGCACTCTTTACCATCTACTTTTAAGAGCAAAATCATTAATATATTTGAATGTTTATAACAATGTTTTTAAACACAGCTTTATAACGGCTAAAAATGTTAACCTTTATTTAACCAGGAAAAAACTCTTGAGATTAAAAATCTCTTTTACAAGAGTGTCCTGGCCAAGGACAGCATACGATAAGTTATATAAATTTATAGCACCTAAACATGCAAAGTTACCAGTTAAGTACAGTCAAAGAGTAAAAAACACAGCAAAGAAACCTTCTAATGAGGTTTTAACAACCTCATCAGAAATATTAAAGCAGCTTATTTACATTCATTCTTTATTATTGTTAGTTGTTGACAGATTTTTAAAATCAGTTTTTTCCGGGTACTCCGGCTTCCTCCCACTGTCCAAAGACATGCAGCTTGTGGGGATAGGTTAATCGGATAATTCAAATTGCCACTAGGTGTGAATGTGCGAGTGAATCTGAGTGTGAATGGTTGTCTGTCCCTGTGTGTTAGCCCTGCGACAGACTGGCGACCTGTCCAGGGTGTACCCCGCCTCTCGCCCTATGACAGCTGGGATAGGCTCCAGCACCCCCTGCGACCCTGAAAAGGATAAGCGGTAGCGAATGGATGGATGGAGTTTTTAATGATTAAATTATTCACTTTAATTAAAAGTTTAAAAGTTGACATTTATGAAATACTGAGCCAATTCTAAAACTAAAACAGACTAAAAACGTCTGCTTGAGTACCTCACAGCTAGTGAATTGAGTTAGTAACTTGATTACTGTTACCTGATTACTGACCATGCCTTAAACTAATAAATTATAAGTTTACAATTCTGCCAGCAATAATTACTGGTCAAATATCTGCAAAATAACATATTATTGTCTTTTTCACTCAATCGTGAATCTATTTTGTTTCTTTTGCAAGAAATATTGCACATTTCTTTTCAGTCTCATTAATTCCACTGATTTTTATTTGCTCTGCTAAGTAAACAATACTCGGGACCTCTTCTAAGAATTACAAGTTAATTTCACAAAAATTCTTTCACATCACTGCATTAGCTCCTTCATTTGTTTTGTAGGAATTTAAAAACTCAATGGATTATTTTCCCTTTCTCACTATTCAGCTGCTGCCCATTTAGAAGCGTGTGATTTCCACAGTCACAGCAGCATCCTGGGCACAAGCCCTGGGTTCAGGACCATGGTTAGAGGGGCAATGTAAGCTCAAAGTCTTCATGCTAACTGCATGTACTGCATGGACTAAGGTTCTGTCGAGCTGTTTTAACTGAAATGTAAATTATCCTGACAATGCAAAACAAACTGTCAAAAACTTAAATCTACTGCTTGTTAAACTGACAAGCGGCATGAGGAGATTTCAAGGCCAGAACTGTGGCATTTATTTACATGATGCAGAAATCCAACTTGCCTGATTCATCCATTCACACCTTCATTTTGTCTACAGAAGTGCTTTCTATTTAACATTCACATACTCGAATGGAATTGCAACTTGAGCAGCTTGGGGTTAGTATCTTGCGCGAGGATATTTGGGGTGTAGACTGGAGCAGACAGGGACCAACCTTCCAATTAGTAGAGGACATGGTCTACATTGTTATTCTTCTTCCAGCAGTACTATCACCCTAGTCCCGTCAGCCTAACTTTTATTTGGTTTTGTTTTGTTTGGTTTCTGGGGTTCGGCGACTAACTCCGTGTGCATCACTGAAAGAATTTAAATCTTTCTGACTTTGCTGTTGCTTTTGAATTCTCATCTTAGGAGTCTGATCTCATTCCTTTTTAATTCTAGGGGAGAAGCCTCCCCATGTCAGAGAGAAGATGAGCAAGATAATGAAGAAGATGGAACAGAAGAATTTTATCATCATACATTAATAGACAGGTTACTGGAGCGGCACGGAGCCGGTATTCCCCACCATGATCCCAAGCTATATTGTGCTGTAGCTTCCAAAACCAAATCCATTCCAGATTTTAGCATCCTGGCCTTTCCTGATTTCTGGGGTCATCTTCCACCACCAGGACATCAACCCATGGCCCCACGCAAACCCAACATACAGAGGTATTAGATACATGAAATAATAATGTAGTTCATGTAACAGGTACGTAGAAAGTTAGACCTCTAAGCATTTTTATAGTGAAAAGAATGGAGAGCGTTCACTCCAGATGGCCACATGTTTACCACTAACCGTATTCCTAATATGGTAAGAAAAGCAACAGAGGCAATGACAGGGTTTTAGTACTGGACAATAGCAAACTATTAGCATGTAATATAATGAAACCTGGTGTAATGATGTGAAACACCTATGTCCAATCACAGCAAGAGGTGGCAGCAGGGGAAATGTTTAAACCTCCTGGATTGCTTTTGTATTTGATCAGCTTTATCCATTATACCATCACAGCTGGTGACACTAACAGACTGAATAAATTGACCAAAAACTTTTGTGAGCAGAAAAGAACAGATGACTGACTGATGTTACAGCCTAAAGAGGAAGTATAGCGATCACAGCAGGAGGTATATAAGTATTTGAGCAATAAGTATTTAATAATGACTCAGATATTTACTGCTGCTGTAAATATAAAGGATAGGTTTTTTAAACATATTTCAAGGACTGTGATTCGAATATTCGACGCTTGACTATGCTTGTGTGTTTATCAGACAGAAAGTGTTTGAAGATATTCAGCGTTTTCTGAAAACTGATGACATCATTAACCATGTTGTCTTTGACCTCGAAGATAGCAAGTAAGTTACCCTCCCCTCACCCCCTGCTCCCCATCTCCATTCTTTCTTTAATTGGTTGTTTTCCCGGGACGGACTTGGACTTGACGATTTGAGCTTGAAAGATTAAAACCTTAAACCTTAAACCAACATGTAGACTTGTGTTTCTGAGCTGATTAAAAGCTGTTGTGGTCCTCACAGCACAGCCTCTGCAAAACCTATGATTTTATTGAATATGAAGGTTTTTTCGAACCATAAACATCCTCAGCAGTAATACTGATCAATGTAATGCTGATGGGGAGCATTTTTCAGGAAAATAAATACTTCTATTTTTGATACTTGTAAATGTTAAATTTGACAGTAATACAGTTTTATGTGTTGTTTTATAGTATTTGTTGCTTTTGTTCCAAAAGAATTCCTTCACCACTCATAAGAGAGTGTGAGTGATGTTTGAATCCAGTACAATTTGTCTTGGGAAAGACTAAAAGAAACTTTATTTTTATCTATGCATCAAGCCATTTTCCTCTGCTTATTCAATTCAGGGTCAGGGGAAGGAGGAAGGCGGGGTACAAGCTTGGACAGCTTACCAGTCTGTTGCGGGTCTAGAAAAGGCAACCATTCATTTTAACTTAATTACATTTTTTTGGAGGGGATGCACCCAATGTTCCCATTAACCTGCGCGTGCGCGCAGTTGCACACTGCTGGCACGGTCTCTGCGCACAGAAAATCTGCGTTGCGCACAAAAAAAATCTAACCTGAATTGAAATTAAAATTAATACTTTAACAATTCTGTTTGGCAGTGTTAGTCAGTAAGTGTCTGGCTGCTCCCGTATAGGATTAGAACGATGTCCAGTGTTGGGAAGGTTATTTTTAAAATGTATTCCACTACAGATTACAGAATACATTTTATTCTGTTACGTTACTCAATGAGAGTAACGTATTCTGAATACTTTGGATTGCTTAATATATTATCATGCTTTTTACAACTACATGAATGTCCTATTGCTGTGTGATTTATTACTATTACGGCTCCAAACCGTAGTAAAGGGACCTCTGGCTAATACGGTGGGTTCCGTGTCGGGCTCGTAGCCGAAAAATAGCTTTACTTTGTTGTGTGGGTCAACTTTGCTAGCGAGAGAGAGACAGAGAGAGGCGTTGAAAGGCTGCTCCAACGGAACTTACTGTTTCGGAGGAAAACACGAACACAGTGTACAGTCGAGTCTTAATAACTTACTTACAACTGGGCTCGTCAGGCACTCTTTTTGTCTGCAGTGATTATTATATTTACATGCTCCCAGCTCTCGTTTCTGCTCGATGTCAACTCGTACTTTTCTACCATCCTTTTTCTCCCTCCTCGCGCTCACAAACACATAACGGGTATGGCAGTCCATTCTCCCTGCAGCAAGGACTACACTGCCCATGAGGCTACATTCTTTAGGGCTATGCATTCTGCCTGTTAGCTTAGCACAACAACAACAACAAAAAGGCACTTTCTCACCCAGGAAACACACAGTCGCAGAGAGAGCGTCACCCTGTAACCGTGGCAACCGTAACGCTGCTGCCTGGAACAACAGAACAAACAAAACCCAAACAGTCCTGACCCGCGACAATATGAAACAGGAAAGTACCGCCGTGTAATCCATTTATTTCAACAAAGTAACTCTATTCTAAATACCACCTTTTTAAACGGTAACTGTAACGGAATACAGTTACTCATATTTTGTATTTTAAATACGTAACGGCGGTACATGTATTCCGTTACTCCCCAACACTGATGATGCCACCTTATCCCACAGTCCAGCCAATGATGCGATTCACATTCGTATATACGCAGCTAATCAACGTCGTTGACAGGCTATGACAACGTCCTTATGTGCCGGCACCGGTTTTTTAGCTAGCAAAGCGACGTGGCTGATGTGGAGTGAAGCAACGTTAATGACAACGTACACAACCATTGGAGATGTGAGCAGGACAGACTGAACAATTGACGGAAAAAGTGTGGACTTTATACCAGTTTTTAAATTGTGTTGATAGGCCACGTAAAACCAGAGTTATGATAAAAATATATGCAATGTTTGGTTTTCTTCCTGAATACTTTTGTGCCACTATTCTGAGCGCACGTAAAAAAAAGTTTGCAGGTGCAAGTGTTGCATTTTGAGGAGAAATTTATTTTGAGCGAAGACAAGCTGAATTTGAGTGAAGAAAATTCATTGCTGTGTGAAAAAAATTTATTTCAGTGTTTGCTATTATCCACACACACACACACACACACACACAATAGCAGCCCCTCTCGCTCAGTTTTTGCATCTGCGCTCGCTCGCAATGTGTTGCTCGCGCTCTCAACATTTCTTTCTCTACACCGTTGTATCTGTTGCAACGGATGCAAAAATATCTGATTGACTGTTCTGGTCTCCAATCAGCTCGAAATGACGAAATGCAATATCCCAGAATCCATTTCGTCCAAAGCTCAAACGAGGCAGTAGCGGAGGAACACAGAGTGTTTGAATACTACTCTTTCTGGATCACAAAATAAACTTTTAAGATATTTTCATGCGAGAATGGTGCTGTGTAAACTTAAAACATTTGCTCGATTTATCAAGACATCACATATTTGCATAAGTGCTCTAACGTTTTCGGAGATGCCTGTTACCCACCAGCTGACCGGGTGGTCACTTGGGTTAAACATAATATATAAGGCTGAACTGACAAAAACCAGGTATTATAGGAAAAACCATAAAGCCTTTGAACTAAAACAAACGCTCTTGTGACACTGTACACTGTCGTGTTGGTATATATGCATGATTTGTATCACCTTCAAGTTTCCAAACCGATATCATGAGCAGCAGCTTTTACAGCTGTGGCTCCAGCAAACAGCTGATACTAGAAATTAATTTTAAATAACCTAACCCTAAGCCTCTTGCTTACTTTTTTGCAAAAATCACAGCAAGAGACAGACAGATAGGTGTGTGTTCATGTAGGAATAGGGTGGTGTGTGTCCTAAAGACCGTCTGTGTCTCTCTTTGTTTCTCCGTCTGTCAGTCTTCAGTGTCAGTCTGATTCTTTGAGGTTTTTTTCCAAGTTTGAATCTGGGAATCTGAGAAAGGCTGTTCAGGTCCGCAGGTATGTTGTGTTGAGACGTGAAGTTTAGGAGATCTAAGCTTACATTTCATTATTACTAATTACTGAGAAAATAAATCATATTTCATTTTAAATGCAGTACAAAACAACAATGTCCTCTCTTCTCTTCTAGATATGAATATGACCTCATATTGAATCCAGATGTTAACTCTTCTCAGCATACCCAGTGGTTTTACTTTGAAGTTAGTAACATGGCAGCCGATGTCCCATACCGTTTTAATGTCATCAACTGTGAGAAGAGCAACAGCCAGTTCAACTATGGTGAGGTGGTTTGTGTGTGTGTGTTCCCTCATTTATAAACTTAATTTGTCACTATTGTCATTATTGCTTTATACATAAATCAGTGATGTCACATGGTACTTATTTACTCTCCAAATAGGCGTGCAGGTGTTTGTGAAGAAAATAAGCACTCTGTGGCATCATTTCATTTCATGTGAAAAATGGCGC